AGTGGGAACTACTGTATAGTAGGCTGGCCTAACTATAGGTGGTTCTAGAACTTATAATATGTGAACTCACCACCTTTTGTGCACAGCTTTGTAGCTTAGCTAGGGCCCAAGACATGCCTGTTGACCTCCGGTCATACTTGTTTACAACCACTTGGAACTTCTGTTAATCTTCTCAGCATGTATTGGGAAAAAAAAGCAGAGAAAAGAACAATTTTGTATTAACAAAAAACACAGAGGGAAAGGGAATGGGATACAGGAATTATTGCAATGATTTTCTATCTTACAAAGCATATTTATGAATTTAGAAAGTTGTGTTATTCATTTACTTAAATATAATAATTCAAGTTTACTTGAACTCTTTACCCGTGTGTATATCTTTCATTTTAATACCAAATTGTCCATCCTATTTCTACTCTAATAACTTTGATGTAATTGGGGTCAAACTGAATATGACTAAGCAATATACAGTATACTATTGAAGATAAATTATACTGTTTGTTAAAAGCTCAGAACCACAATCCAAAACAAATAAGAGCATATATTAATATTTGGGGGGCATGAAAATATTTTTATAGTCAATAAAAAGAAAGATTAATTTTCTTCCAGGAAGGAGAACAGAATTTATATTTTTACAAAGAGTAATATAAAAATATTATTAGTACAGTAATACTATTGCTACTAAAAATGGAACTATTATTTAATCACTAAGATAGTCATTTGCTTCTAGTGAGTATTACAATTCACTTGACAGATCTGAGGTCTCCTGAACCAACTTTGTCTTTACTGATCTTCCCAGGCTTGTCATTCCCACCTCCCACAGAGTCTGCCACGTGGAGCAGCAGCAGCCTGCTATAAGAGATGAACACTATGGTAGGATAACACAAAGAAATGCTCAGGACCAAAACACTATAACATAAACAGCATTTTAAAGGGGAAAATGTTTCTTTTCAATTTTTGGGGGGTATTGTATTTATGTCATTCTTAGAGTTGCTCACATTTTTAAAAAAGATTTTATTCATTTACTTTTAGAGAGAGAGAGAACTAGAAAAACATCAGTATGTAAGAGAAACACTGATTGGTTGCCTCTCACATGCCCCCGACTGGGGACCTGGTGTACCACCCAGGCATGTGCCCTGACTAGGGACTGAACCAGCAACCCTTTGGTTTGCAGGCCAGCACTCAATCCACTGAGCCACACCAGCCAGGACTTATGCGACTTGTCTTTTAAATGTACCTAAATTCTTAGAACTGTCTCACAGTTCATTTTAAGGCGATAAATTGAATACCATATTCTCTTAAATATATTATTTCTAAACTATTGATATTAAATAGAAAGAATTTATATCTTCATCATGCCAAGAAGTAATTTAAATAACTCTCCAAATCAGTTTCTTGTCACATACTATAATACATTATTATCTGATAACTGTACCTCCTGTCGAAGAAAAACAAACCATTGTACTAGGCTCAAGTTTTTTGTGTGTGAAAAAAATACTTAAGTAAACCATAAATGTAATTAAACCCCAATGAAATGTATTGAACAATTTTGGGGGGAAGCAGGTATTATTCTGACCATCAACATTGGCATAAGAGTGAACAGTTTAACTTTACAGGGTTATTTACTAATCTTGCTGGGAATGATTCCCATGATTTTAAGAACAGAGAGTCTATCCTTCTCTCTTTACATTTGGAGTAATAGGTCTAGAAGATGGGAATCCCAAATTGTACTAGTCTCTTGATTCCATAAAAGTGGATTCCCTTCTGTCCTTCAGTATTTAACTAACTGCTGCCTACAAGTACTGTAAGCATCAACTAATAGTGTTTGGAATGCTTTTTATACCCTTTGGACCATTTGTGACATCAGTAATGACAAGATTCTTTCCAAACCACAATTTTTTCCTTTCAAAACTCTAATGTATTTTTGCACGATCATTGCTTGTTACTCTATTTTTAATGTTTCTTCTGAACTATGACAGGCATGCTTATTACAGGATATTTGAATAATAAATAAAACTAAAAGAAAAAATACCCATGATTTTGTCCATTTTTTTTCCTCCTGGATTTTGATGAAATAATTATGATTTTCACTTCTTTTTTCAATGTTAGGAAGAGATTTTTAAAAGAATTTGCTCAGGTTTTTGATAAATTTGGTTAACATGACTAATCACATTCTCTGTCTTTACTGGAAAAGCAATAGAGGTATTGCCTCATAGTTACAGTTGAATTCAGAAAATTAAATGCTGGCATGATTTCACTTCCTCTGTAGGTGTTTCTTCTTCACAAACATCATTTTAATAGATGTGTCAATGATAGCTATCACTTACAAAAAGCCTTATTTAATGATATAATCTTCACATCAACCATAACAGTAAGTTGTCATTCTCACTTTACAAAACAAAGGCCTGAAATCAATCACATAGTTCTTAGGTGGTGAAGTGAGAATGTTAGGGAATTTGAACCCTGTTCTCTCTACCTCTAAGGGCACCCTTTCCACTATAGCCCAACACCTCATCACGAATATCAAATCTGCTTAATTAGGCCCTATGGTTGAGCACATCAAATACTCCCCCACCATTTATTTATTTTTTTAAAACTAATATCAATAATGTTGGAAGTAATATCTTGATGTATAAACCTTTATTTATTTTTATGATTATTTTCCTAAAGAAAGAGCTTTAAAATTTGGATTATTGCATTAGAAGTGGAAATGTTTTTTAGGTAATTTGTACATATTGCCAATTGCTTTCCTCAATGAGATTGTTCAAATTATAAATCAATCAGCAGAGCATGAGGCTTCCTGCTTCATTGGGCCCTTTATAACAATCTTGGTTATTTTAATAGATGAAAATGGATTTTTTGCTAAGTTTAAATTTTTGATTGCTATAATTCACTGTGTTTTAATATACCAATTCTCCATTCTATAGAGTGAGCCTTGTGTAAGGGCTAGCTAAGTCCCTGTACCAGATATGGGAAGATACAGGAGTGGTCTTCAGACTTTCATTCCCTTTATTCATTCAATCCAGTTCCCATTCTAGGTCAAGCACTGTGCTAGTATTCAGGATGTAAAGTTGAAAGCCCATGCCTGACCTCAAAGAGCTTGTGAACTAGGAAGAAAAACAGACACAAATAAACAATTATAGCACAGCATAACTAGCACTGTGACCAAAGTAACACAGAGGAAGATGCTTTGAGAAACACAGAAAAGGACACTTAAGCCATCTTCGGGGAGGTCCTGGTAGGCTTGAGCTCCATCTTAAAGAGAGATAGAAGTTAGACAGATTTTCCCTAACATCTCCAACCAGAATTAACAGCTTGCTAATCCATGTGTGTCTTTATCAATGTGTATTGTACTTATTTGTTTCCATGTCTCTTACACTCTCATTGGGCTCAGATTCTTGATGGAAAGGACTACTATATCCCTAATTAGCCTATTACAATGTCAGAAAAAGTAGGAATAAAATAAACTTAGTTGAATTATTTTGAAATCCTAGCCTGTTGCTATTTTCTCCCATAACTTCCTTTTGATTTATATAAATATGTGTGGTTTTTTTCTTTTGGTTGTAAAAATACTGTTCACCACACACGAATCAGAGTGGGTGGAAGGTTGGAAAATAGGAAGTGTTGGTGAAAGATTTGTAACAACAGCAATGTTCATACATTGCTGGATCTGGAGCAGCAGCAGTGCTCATACATTTCTGGAAGCAGTAGAAATCGGTACAACCACTTTGGAAAATGGTTGGGTCATATGTCATAAGCCAGAAGTCCACTCTTAGGAATAAACTCAACACAAGTGCATGCAAGTGTTTACCAAGAGGCATAATTTTACCAAAAGTGGCACTATCTATAATAGCTCCAAATTAGAAAATACACAGATGCTCATCAACAGTAGAATGGATAAACTTATTGTGTTATGGTCACAAACAGCAAGGAAAAAGACTCTATATTCAACAGTATGAAGGAACTTTATTTAAATAATTTTGATTATTTAAGAGCTAGATTTTTTTTGAAAAGTACTTATTGTATATTTACTTTTACATATGTCATAAAAATAGGCAAAATTATGCTATTAGAGGTCAGGAAAGGTCAGCAGTGAGGTTCTGTGACTTAGGAAATAGGAAGCCAGAGCTTCTGGATGTTCTGGTAGGGCTCCGTTTCTTCATCTGGATGCTGGTTAAACGTGTAAATTGAGCTTGTGCCCTTTTCTGTATGTACCATTGACCGTTGAGCAACATTACGGGTACTGACCTGCCACAGTGCAACTTCTCAGCCCTTCTCATACATGGATTCCCAACCATGGATTGAAAGTGTATTATACTTAGTTGTGTGTGTGTGTGTGTGTGTGTGTGTGTGTGTGTGTGTTTAATAATACGTCTTATTTCAGAAGAAGCTGAGAAATGCAGACGTTTTTTGAAAAATTTAAATCACCCAAAACTCGGGATCCAGAAATAACTACTATTAACATTTTTAGTTATTTCCTTCTAGTCTTTCGAAGCCACAGTGTTGGTGCTACCTCCTCCCCCTCTCTTCTCCCTATATATTTATACACACACATTTTACCAAAATAGGTTCATTTCTATTAAGTTTACTTCTGGTTTTTATTTTTACTTGAAATTAATCCTTATCAAATATTCGTTGAAAATGTTTTTAAAGCTGCTGCAATGTATTCCATCAAATGTATGTCGTGTGCATGTGTGTGTATACACACTTTTCTAGGAATATATGATTAGGAATATTATATACTATACGTAAAAAGCTACAGGGTCGAGAACATTCTTCACGCTCTACATTCATTCTCTACTTCCTTCCAAAAAGGTTGCATTCCACTGGCAAGGTGTGAGGACTCCTTGTATCAGATTCCAAACCCAGGTCATTTATTATTATTTCTACTTGTTTTTAAGGTACTGGAGGGCTTACAACAAGACTAAGGAATCTGCCGTATTGCACCCGGCTGAAGCCCTCAGCAGGAACCGGCTTTCCCCACATCCCTGGATCTTCCAGGCGCCGCCCAGGCTCACAACCTGCGCATCAAACCCGCGCCTCCGCCGGGCTGTGGGGCTGCCTGCGCTTGGGCCCCCAGCGCCACACGTTGCTGTGGGAACGGGACCTCAAGCCCTGAGACTACAGAAACCCGGGCATGGAGCTGCCGGATCCCGTCCGCCTGCGGCTGGGAAACTTCAGTCGGACCGTCTTTGGGGACTCAAACAGGACCGGCCCCGAGTACAGCGAAGGTCCGGGTGAGTGGCCCGCCCACGGCCTGGCGAGGGTTGCAGCGGCGGATTTTGCCAGGACCTAAAATGGCTGTCTCGCCTTCACCTGGTTCACTGCAGTGCGGGAAGCCTAGTGGAGGAGAGGCCACACCGAGAGCCAAGGATGGAACAGAAGTGGGCCCTGATGGCTGATCGTGCTGAGGCCTGGCCCACGAATTGCAAGTAGGGCAGCTGAGGTGGCTCTGGCCGTCCTCAAAAAATATATGAAAACTATGAAAGTCGCTTTCGCAGCACACGTCTGGTCCTGCGCCCTCTGCGGAGGCGGGCGTTGTTTTCCTCTGCAGAGGCTGCCCGGGTTTTTCTAGCCTAGAGGGAGGGAATCGCTCCTTCCGCTCCCCACAGATAACACGGTAAAATATCTTTCTCCTTTCCTAGCAGAACAAGTACATTCCACCACAGGCGGTTTTTTGGCAGAAGAGATGGAAAGAGGTTTTTTTTGCTTGTTTTTTAATAAATCATTTTAAAACACTATCCAGTCCAGAGTGAGAGTGGCCACACTAGCATCGCCTTCAATAAAACACTGCCCCTTCCTGCTTCTCCTTACCCTCCCCTATATATAACTCTTCACCAAATCTACTAACAAAATGCCACGATGCTACTACATGGAACCCGACGACAAGGAATGACACGGTTTCCTCAAAAACAGTTTCTTAAATCATGACAGACAACGTGCTATCAACCAAATCCATACAGTTTTATCACTGAACTCTTCTGGAAATAGAAATCTTTTCCTCTTTTTTGGTTTAGGTATTTTAAAAGGGTCAGAGAAAAGTAAAGTCAGTTTCTATAGTTGCATTTTTCCAACTTGTTTGCCTGCCCCCCTCCCCCCGCAAATTTAGGTCTTTTCATGATTTAGGATGTACAGAGAAAAACATAATGTGAGAAAGTAGGTTTTTACTTTTCTCATTTCTAAAGCTAAGCCTTAACAGTCTCTAAAATCTGATGAGGCAAGGGGTCAGGGGTCAGCAGACATTTTCTATAATGGCTCAATAGTAAATATTTTAGATTTCGTAGGCCATAGATCTCTGGTCCCTATAGATAGTGATAACTGGGTAGACAGGCAGTGTTCCAAAAAACTTTATTTGTGGATACTAAAATTTAAATTTCATGTGATTTTCAGTGTCAAAAAAAATTATTCTTCAATTATTTTTCCCCAATCATTTAAAAACGTGAAAAAACACTTTTAGCTCACTTGCTATACAAAATCAGGCTGCTGGCTGGTAGTTTGCCTACCCCTGATCTAGATTATAAGTGTTTTAATTTAAATTTGATTTACAAACTCAACTTATACTTTTTTAAAATTTAGTAAATTCATATCTGTGCTTTCAAAGGTTCATTTACATATTAATGTGATTTTCAATTGCATGATTATCAGTTTGATCTGCTGAAATACAGATATAGCATAACTCTTGAGATGTTATTGTACAAAATTTTTAACAGAAAAACTTCTTTGCAAAATTTGACTACACTTTCTGCTCCAAATTTTCAGCTTAACTAATTCATCATTATTTTCCAGTTTCTTTGTGGAGCTGGTATAGGTTTGATTATTTGTACTGTGATTACAAGTGTATATCATTACCATCTTCACAGCTGACCAGGAATTGTACTATTATGAAAAAACCCCCTAGGATGGTGAATTAGTTGCCTCCAGATTTGACAGATTTTAAGATTTCATTCCTACCCTGGCTGGTGCAGCTCCGTGGATTGGGTGCTGGCCTGCGTGCAAACCATAGGGCCGCTGGTTCGATTCCCAGTCAGGGCCCATTCCTGGGTTGTGGCCTGGTCTCTGGTGGAGGTCACGAGAGGCAACCACACACTGATGTTTCTCTCCCTCTCTCCCACCCTTCCTCTCTGTCTAAAAATAAATCTTTTTTTAAAAAAAGACTTCATTTCTTCATCAGTGGTAATTTAATAGGTACAAGCAAAGTACCATATATAATACTCATGATTTTAAAAAGTAGATCATAATCAGGCATATTCTTGGAGCTAAAGGAAACCTTGCTATGAGATCATGATTATTCCTTATATTTTAAAATTATTAAATGACAAATATAAGTTGTTAAAAAAAGAAAAAATCTATTTTTAAGAAATTTATTTTAGAACCTTTGTAAATTCTTACGGTTAGAGCAATTGATTTCTAAATATGTATCTGCTCCTGTTAGATAGAATTTAGTAAAATTTAGGATGCAAATGTAGGGCTTAATTTAAAAAATAAAATTCTTATTTTAGGACCCTTTTTCATTACGTAAAAGCAAAACATTATACACTCAGTCTTAAATAAATGAAATTCACATATCACAAATGACAAGTCTGTTTTCGTTAGTTCATTCTGCTTATGTGTATTTGATATTTATGATGTTTAAAGCAAGATGCTAGGTTCCACGAGGGTCTCAAATTTGGGTAGAATGTGGTGTTTATATTGAGTCTGTTTATAAGTGAAAGAAAAGGAAAGGAGACACATATTTATTATTGAGTGCCTCCTAAGTGCCAGGCATGGTGCTAGGGTGAAATATATGATGTCTAATCCTTATAAGCAATCTGTGAGATCACTTTAATGTTACCATTTTACAGATGAAGAAATCGACGGTCAAAGAGGTTAAATAACTTACCTTGAGTCTGGCTTGCAGAGTCACTGGGAAGGTTGGGGAATTCCAGGTTTACCTGGACTCCAAAGCTCATGATCTCTTCATTACACCAGACTGTGTCTTGATTGAGGGAACATGTTTTTTTGCTAACACTTCTTATACACAGATTAGAGTGATAAGTACCTATAAAAGAAAGAGATTTCTACTGGAGTGGGGGAGTACAATCAAGAAAAAATTTATGGAAAAGGTGGCATTAAATTAGATATTAATGAGTGGGTAGGATTAGGGTATGGTGAAAAGGGGTGTATATATAATTATAATTTGGGGAGATGCTTTTTTGTATGATATTTATATGTGAAAAAGTAGTCGTCATGTATTTTATGTGTTCATTTTATGGGCTCTTTACATAGAATTCTACAAAAGTAGTAATAGCAATTACTGTGTCTGAATGGGATTTATATTGGTATTCTATTTTTAATCTTATACCAGTAGTATGCCAAAAATTCAACAGACTGTACTGCCAAAATTCGAAAATAATTGAAAAATGTAAAATATACCCCCACGTAGCCAATATATGAACTAAATAGTATGATGGTGAACATTTTCTTTCACTGGAAATGATTATAAAGAGGCTTAAAATAAGGAGTTTTGTTGAGCCAATATGATAGTTATTCTAAGGAACTAAAGGATTTATAGGCATGGACCAGGCGTAAGAGTTTGTCCCTTTTCTCTCTGTCTCTATTGTAGATAATGAAATGGTTTCCAGTTTGGCATTGCAGATGTCACTTTATTTTAATGCTTACTTTTTCCCACTTTGGTGGGTGAGCAGCATTATAATGCTTCAAATGAAGGTAAGTCTATACATTAATACTTCTGTTAAGGTCTCTTCTGCATATCCTTTTCATTGCTATATTGTCAATAAAATTTAAGTTTTTAATTTCTTTTTAATCTCAGGTCAATTTTACTATATGTGAGATTTTACAAACATGTTTATTATTTTTTTTTTAGTATCCAATTTTGCCTGATTACTACAAATTCATTGTGGTCACTGTTATCATCCTAATAACCTTAATTGAAGCAATCAGGTTGTATCTGGGTTACATGGGTAACCTACAGGAAAAGGTAGGCTCCTCTTTCCTTCTTTTCATACTACACACAAATGCAGTAAGGTTTTCACAGCAAGGAAAGGGCAGTGAGCTGTGTGGGAAGGAGCAAAGGCCTGCAGTTAAGGCCTGGCTCCAAATTTACCTCTTTTGTCACTGTGGTCTGTTTGCTTAATCTTGTCAGCCTTGGTTTCTTTATAGGTAAAATGGGGGAAATTAATTAATTAATTAAAAGGGGGGAAGAGTTCACAGTTTTGTTGGGACTACATGAAATAATTTATATAAAGTACCTAACATAGTAAGGACTTAAGAATTAATCTTTTTTTTTCTTCTTACCAGTCTTGAAAATAATTCGGTCAATTAAACATGTTTATTTGGATCCTGAGTAAGAAAATGAGGGGAAATGAGAAGCTCATTTTCTGTGCTGGGCACATGTTTTCTGAATCACCATGCTGCCTAAGGGTTACTAGGGTTTAGGGATAATGACTAAAGATTCCTAAGGTTTCCTAGGCCCTTCATAATTAGGCCCCACCCAGCCTGCCTCACTGTATTTCTTGCTCTTTCCTGCATGAAGCATCCATTCCAGGTTGACATGTTGATTCTCAGTCCTGCTCATCCCACATCTTTGCTTAATTAGTTTCTTGCTTCTTCCTCTTTCTACCTAACTTGAAAAGCCTACATCCTGAATTCTTTGGCCTTAACCCTAATCACTCTGCTGTCTTCTTGTAGAAGTCTATGTTTCTAAGCGGTACATTTACTTACTAAGGTGAAGTATTCTAGGATACATTGTCACATAAGTTAGTTTTCTAATGTAGACTGTAAGTTCTCCGAGGACAAGGACCATGTTATGTTACTACACTCCTTTTGAATTACAGAGATCATAAGAAAGGTTCATAGTAGTGCTAAGTATTTGCTTATCTGTATAAATAAAAGAGGGTACTTCACTGATCTGATTACTCTCAATGATATATATCATTTCAGGTTCCTGAGTTGGCTGGCTTTTGGCTTTTGAGCCTTCTATTGCAGTTGCCTTTGATTCTTTTCTTGCTCTTTAATGAAGGCCTAATGAATCTGCCCTTGGAGAAAGCAGTGCACATCATCTTCACTATGTTCCTTACTTTTCAAGTTGTTTCAGCATTTCTTACCTTGAGGAAAATGGTAAATCAGTTGGCAACTCGTTTCCACCTCCAGGACTTTGACAGGCTCTCTGCAAACAGAGGAGGCATGAGAACAATGAGATCCTGCATAGAAGAGATTTGACCCAGTGCTGTTTAGTGACACATCTGAAAGATCATTCTAGAGCTGCAAGAGCTAGGAAAACATCAGAGATCCAACATGAGAAAAAGGACAAAGCAAGTGTTTGGAATTGTAAACTCTCTGGCAATGAAATGCCAAGGTTCAAGTTTCAAGGTGAAGGTTCAACCTTCAAGGTTCAAGGTTCAGACTGTACATTACAGGAAAGCACTAAGTCAACCCTAAAGCCTAGATGTTTCCCACCTGATGCCAAATATCTTAATTTTTCGGTTGTTGTTGACTTTCTCAGGTGTGTAGAATTCTGTGTTGGTGGTTACAGTTTATCAGCTTTACTGTAATATTTCTAGTTAGCATCTATAACATTTCTAGTTAGAAATGTGTATATTTCTTTTAAATGTGTTAGCTTTCCATGTCTTGGCAGTACATCTGAAGCACATGGAAATGCTTATCAATATTGTGGTGTATTAGACTATATTTGTAAACCAAGACACCACATTTTCAGGTCTACTAGGGTTAAATCATAACCCTAGCTCAGCTGTTATCCTGAGGTTAAAAAGAAAACAAGTGGATTATCATGGTACTTAGGAAATATTTTTATCATAAAATTGTAACTTTTATACAACCATGTTCAGTATTTATAGTGGCAGTGATTTGCAAATTGTCTTTATAATAAATTATAAAATATTTATATTAAAGTATTTGTAACAAATCATTCTTGTCTTATACAGTTCTTTTTGGCTGTAGGTTTATTTTTATTACACAGTTGCAAGGGATGGAAGAAGAAATATGTCATAGAGAGCCTTATATCAGTGTGTAGTGGGCACTGAACTAAGCACACTAATGCTTGTGATCTCATGTACTAAACGTTATTCACTGCAGAACTGCTTCATACCCCATAAATTCATATGAGGCTTGGTTTGAGTCTGTTAATCAAATTAACAGGTGCCTGTCAAATGATAGTGAGAGCTAAGGTGACCAGAGGGACTATACTCAGGATCATAAATAAGCATGTTCCCTTGCTACTAGAAAAAACTGACTTAAGGAAATCCTGGTAAGAGCAAAATTGCTTGGATATATCTGAACATTATACTAAAGTGATTATAAGCTTGTTGAAAGGGATATACAGTAGTCTGCCCCTTATCTGCAAGGGATATATCCTAAGACCCCAGTGTGTGCCTGAAACCTCAGATAGTACAGAACACCATATAGACAACGTTTTTACACACATATATACCTATGATGAAATTTAACTTATAAATTAGGCACAGTAAGAAATCCTCAACAATAACTAACAACAATTGTAATAATATACTGTATCAAAAGTTATGTGAGTATGGTTTCTCTCAAAATGCCTTCTTGTACTGTATGCACCTTTCCACTTAAGGCACTTCACGGCTTCTCTTTAGCGTATCATAACTGTCGGCATCACTGTTCCTGTACTCTGGGGCCATTATTAAGTACAAAAGGGCTACTTGAACACAGACACTGCAATGTTATGAAAGTCGATCTGATGACTAACGGGCGGGCAGCACCTACCACGTGGAGATGCTGGACAAGGTGGTGATTCACATCCTAGGCAGGACAGCATGAGGTTTCATCATGTTACTCAAAATGAGGCACAATTTAAGACTCAGGGATTGTTTATTTCTGGAATTTTCCATTTAATATTCTCAGTCCATGGTTGACCATGAGTAACTGAAACTGCAGCAAGCAAAACTTCAGATAAAGGGGGACAAAAGTAATACTTCTTTACTGTAGGAAAAAGTGGCTTCATAAGCAAGGTATTTACTGAGAAGCAGTTGTATCTACATTAAAAAATTGTTCTTTCCAATTTCCCTTCTCTGTAATTCATGCTCGTAGAATCTCCATGTTTTGCTTTATTTATTCTTATATTGCTTAATTTTTTTAATGTTTTCACTTCCCACTCTAATTACACCTGACCAAATTATTTATGCTAATTTTATTTCTGCTTTTTATTATTACAAATCCTTGAACTATTACATAGTTCACCTTATGGACTGGCTAGTTAGCCTTTCCCTCATACCAAACTAGTCACAGGTATACTCCAATAATTTGAAATTCTAAATAGAATTCTGTGTGGAAAGTTCTCAAATTTGTTTCTGGATAGGCATAGATGGGTGATTCTGTCAGAAAATGTAAAATGAGACACTAATCTACATAGCAGATAAATTAGGAGGATGATGGAGATTTGCTTATTTAACAATTGTGTACAGAGTTTTGTTTTAAATAGCAGAGACTCTGACACATGTAAACTTTAAGATTAAAAGATTAATAGCTAAAATATTGGAGTCATAATTTAAAAATATTAAATACTAAACATTTTGGAAAATGAAATTTGATTTATTAAAATCCTCCAAAATCTTTTGCTGAAATAACTATATTCGTTACAATGCAGATGTAATATGGGTGAAAAAGAAACCAAGAAAGTCAACTGAGAAAATGACAGTCATTTGTTTTTCATCTAAACAGCAAAACCATGATTTTTTTGTTAAGTTGAACCATTATTTTCTATTGGTTCCCTATGTAAGCATATGAAAAATTGAACTAGAGGAGATATTTACATGTCAGCATATTTGGGATTTAGGTGGTCCTTATTTTCATTGTATTTGAATAAGTTTGTTTATCCTTAATTCTATTACACCTTTCTCTCCAGGTGTTCATAACACCGTTCTGAACATTTCTCATTAGGATGTTGAATTTTACAATTATTTTGTGTTTCACATTTTTTCTTCCAGAGTCTTTCTCATCACAGTCAGGGTAGATGTGCATTTCTGTAAATCAGAATGATTTTTAAAACTTGGATTTTAAAGCCATTAAAACTTGGATCAATAAGTGTTTGAATGACTACATAGTATGTGCAAGGAATAGTGGAGCATTCATGGATGAATAAGATGTGTTCCCATGTGGAAAGTAAAATATTTGCAAGACGACATTAAGACAAGTAGTAACATCTGACTTCATCAGCGAGGTGCACTGAATGAGTTTCTACCTGATAAGTACCTGACAGATTACAGTCCTTGGCTTCCAGCATATCTCCCCTCTTTGTTCCCAGCTCATAAGTGTTGAGGATTAGCATACTGACCCTTCCTCTTCATCACTTAGCATTCACTAGTCCTCTCATGATCAGAGCACAGGGAGGGGACATGAGGGATGGAGGTGCAGTTAAACACATACACCCCTGTGTTCATTGCAGCATCATTCACAGTGGCCAAGACATGGAGACAACCAAACCGTCCTTCAATGTGATACATAGGTACAGTGGAACAGTACTCAGCCATAAGAAAAGATGAAATACTGCCATTTGTGACAACATGGATAGAACTTGAGAATATTATACCAAGAAATATAAACCAGTCAGAAAAAGCTAAGAACCGTATGATTTCACTCATATTTGGGATATAAAACTGAAACTCATAGATGCAGACAACAGTGTGGTGGTTACCAGAAGGAAGGGGGTGGGAGGATGGTAGAGGGTAAAGGGAGCCAAAAAGATGGTGACGAAAGATGATGTGACTTCGGGTGGTGGGCATGAAATGCAATATACAGATCATATATCATACAAATGTACACTTGAAACTTGTATGATCTTATTAGCCAATGTCACACCAATAGATTTAATATAAGTAAACCAACACATACACACACACTGAAACTTGCCAGTCCACACCATAATGAAAGTTTCCTGTCTTTGGAAAAGGCAGATAAACAAATTACTGAAAGCACTGTGCAATAGGGGCACTGTAGGATTACAGAGAAGGGATATACAAAGTATGAGGAATCTGGGAAGGCTTCCTAAATGAAGTAACACCTGAGATTTAGAGAATGAGTGGGGGTTAAGCATTAATTTCAGTAGTAAGAAACAGAAATAATAGGGAGTGTGAGCACTGTTTCACGTAGTTTGGTAAATCTAGTGGGAAGGGTGCAGGGGAAAAAGGCACAGAATAGGGTAGAAAAACTTGGGAGGAGCTAGTAAGCTACGCTAAAGCGTTTAATACTCTGAATCCCTCAATGGTTTCAACAGTGAAGTATCACAACCATTTGCATTTAAGAAAGACCTCTCTGAACACAGTGTGGAAAATGGATTCAAAGGGTGGATTCAGAGGAAGAATTTGATGTAGTAACTTCAGAGAGAACAAGCTGGCCTGGATATAGTTTATGGCAGTAAAATAAACTTAAGTAGAACATATTAAAGTCTCAAAAATTAATTTTATTTTACATTTAAAACAGGTAGCAAAAGGTTTTTTTTAAAAAAAATAATATTTTATTGATTATACTATAACAGTTTTCCTAATTTTTCCCCCTTGGCCCCCTTCCACTCAGCACCCCCACTCCCTCAGGCAATCTCACCACCATTGTTCATGTCCATGGGTCATGCATATAAATTCTTTGGCTGCTCCATTTCCAATGCTGTACTTTACATTCCTGTGGCTATTCTGTGACTACCTATTTGCACTTCTTTTTCTTTAAAATATATTTTATTGATTATGCTATTACAGTTGTCCCATTTCCCTCCCCTTATTCCTCTCCACCCTACACACCCCCTCCCACCCACATTTCCCCCTTTAGTTCATGCCCACGGGTCATAAGTTCTTTAACTTCCACATTTCCCATACTATTCTTGTCCTCCCCCTGTCTATTTTCTACCTACTGTCTATGCTACTGATTCTCTGTACCTTCTCCCCCTCTCTCCTCCTCCCACTCCCCTGTTGATAACCTTCCATATGATCTCCATTTCTGTGGTTCTTTTCCTGTTCTAGTTGTTTGCTTAGTTTGCTTTTGTTTTAGGTGTGGTTGTTAATAACTGTGAGTTTGCTGTCTTTTTACTGTTCATATTTTTTATTATTTCTTCTCTTTTTTATTTCTTCAAACTTTTTTTCCTTTTTAATATATTTTATTGATTATGCCATTACAGTGGTCCCATTCCCCCCTTCATTCCCCTCCACCCTGCATGCCCCTCCCCCACCATTCCCCCCTTTAGTTTGTCTATGTGACACAAGTTCTTTAGGTTCTATATTTCCTATACTATTCTTTCTCTCCCCCCAGTCTATTCTACCTACCATCTATGCTACTTATTCTCTGTACCTTCTCCCCCCTTCTCTTCCTCCCACTCGCCTGTTGATAACCCTCCATGTGATCTCCATTTCTATGGTTCTGCTCCTGATCTAGCTGTCCTCTTAGTTTGCTTTTGTTTTAGGTGTGGCTGTTAATAACTGTGAGTTTGCTGTCCTTTCACTGTTCATATTTTTATCTTCTTTTTCTTAGGTAAATCCCTTTAACATTTCATATAACAAGAGCTTAGTGATGATGAACTCCTTGAATTTGACCTTATCTGAGAAGCACTTTATCTGCCCTTCCATTCTAAATGAAAGCTTTGCTGGATAGATCAATCTTGGATGTAGGTCTTTGGATTTCATGACTTAGAATACTTCTTTCCAGCCCCTTCTCACCTGTAAGGTCTCTTTTGAGAAATCAGCTGACAGTCTGATGGGAACTCTTTTGTAAGTGACTGTCCCCTTATCTCTTGCTGCTTCTAGGATTCTCTCCTTCATTTTAATCTTGGCTAATGTACTGATGATGTGCCTAGGTGTGCTCCTCTTTGGGTCCAACTTCTTTGGGAC